AAAAATTAAATGTTTATTAAGGTCAAGTCTAACTTATAACACGTACAATAACTGCAAAACAGTATACAAAAGTCCCGAGAGTCCAAAATTACAAACCAGCCAGTTAATCACCCCCAAAGTTTTCAACATACATCAACAGTTATAACATACTAACATAATAATTTAATATCAGATCCGTTCCCATATATAAAAACGACTTTTGAACTATAAATCCCACTGACTGGAGTCAGGTTTAAAATACCACAAGTTTGGGAGTCTGCTACTCTATACAACAAGAGGAGTCTCAGCAGCAGGGCGGAGGTCAGAGTGGAGTCAAAAGTGGAGCCATGAGTGATGGCTCGTCCTAGAGGGCAGCACGTTGTGCTCTGTCATGAAGTCAAGTACTGGGAACCAGGTACGTACAAATTTTTCATAAGTTTTACTGGAGCTGTTTTGTATTTGATCTACTATATTAGAAATTTTATTCATCACAAACTGGTCCCAAATCTTGTCATACCAGGATGTCATAGTAGGAAGAGATGGAGATTTCCAGTTTGCTGCAATCGTGAGCCTGGCTGCTGCCAAAAGAATTTATTTCATTTTTTTTGAGATTCCACCTAAAAGGAGATTTATGAGCTCATTCGGAAACTTATGCTTGCGGACAACAGGGATCTGCAGATAAAGCCATAGTCAAGGACTTTCCATACCTTTTATACAGATTCTGGGATACAAAGAGATTCAAGAGGCACGTGTGTAACTTCTGCTTGTCACCTTGCTGCTGGAACAGCCAGGGGAGTTCGTCTGCACTTCTCCACGTCACTCTCTCTTGACTGACAGCAGATTTGGTGCAAAAAAAGGGGAGAGGGAAATCAGTGAAGTTGTGGAGCTTAATTTGCAAAAGGCCTTATTTGCATAATGCCAATTTAATCAGTGCAGTGCGGTTACAGTACAAGACAATTTGGAAACCAACTGCGTACAAACTATCACGTACAACTGAGCATCTCTTCAGTCTTTGGGGCATTTTGTTTTAAAACAATAAAGGGAAGGAAGAGTGTTTTTCCTCCTGCAGAACTGGGACGATTTAAAAAAGGAGCCATTGCCTCAGCTTCCCTGTGAATTATCATGGCTGGGGGAATTTGGACTTGGACTAGTTCACTTGAAGCATGCTTGGGATCTGGAGGAGAAAGGGGGTGTCCAAGTCCAAATTCCCCTAGCCATGATAACTCACAGGGAAGCTGAGGCAATGGCTCCTTTTTTAAATCGTCCCAGTTCTGCACCCAAAAGCCATACTAGCCTATCAAACGCGGGGAGTTTAACAGTGAAGCCACTGGGATTTATGGTCATGACTCAAAGCCTACAGCACCAAGTCACGGCATGTGAATGAGCCATCATGGAGAGAACCGAAGCTGCCAATCAGCTTTGTAGAGTGATCTTGAGTTCAAGTGCTATGGGGGAAGGCTCTGCAATTCTGTTGTGTATGTAGGAGGGGAGTACACCAGGAGAGAAGGAGCTGACTTTATCGCTTGCCTCCGAGGGCAAAAATAACCTGGAGCCAACCCTGAGGTGACAGCTAAGGTCATTTAGAAAGAAATATAAGGTAGGTATCAGAGCTAGGTATAAGTAATATTGATTATATTATATGCTTTTTTCATATCCTGGAAATCTTACCTGAGCTGCATGGTGAAGTAGTCAATCAATTTTTCTCTGCAAGCAGCAAAAGCATTGTGGCCTTCTTCCATGAATTCCAGTTTTACTGTTTCCCAAGCCTAAAATGAGGACAGTAATTGCATAAATTATAAGCTTTTCAAACTAGCATGTCACAAACTGATGGTCTGCAAATCCACCAGATAGGAAACAAAAGAGAAAATAAGAGTCATGCAACCTACAACCTGAAGCCTCTGGCTAGCAAAGCAAATATCCAATGAGGAATTCAATCTCTAAACCTGTGAAGATTTAAGGTGGCAATATTATTCCATGGCGGGGTTGAGACTTGATGCCAAACAACGGGATCCTGAGTCTTGTTCACATCCCTCCTCCTTTTCTCACCTTCTCCTGAGCTAATAATCAGTAGATTCTGGTGCCAGAGTGAAGAACGGAACAGACACACTCCAAAGTTGCAAAGTCTCCAAAGGCTTGTTCACATTGTGTCACACAATGTCTGTCATCACATATGAACCTTGCTTGTGTGTGCATGCGCATATGCTACTTCCTACCCATATTGTAGGAGCTGCAGTGGCTCAAGTGGTTAAGACGCTGAACTGCAAGCTGTGGAAGATCGGTAGTTCAGCAGTTTGAGACCCGGGTGCCACATGATGGAGTGAGCTCCCATCTCTAGTTCCAGCTCCTGCCAACCTAGCAGTTCGAAAGCAAGAAATTGCAAGTAGATAAATAGGTACCACTTCGGTGGGAAGGTAACAGCGTTCTGTGCACCTTGGTGTTTAGTCATGCCGGCCACATGACCACGGAAACATCTTCGGACAGCGCTGGCTCTTCGGCTTTGAAACGGAGATGAGCACCGCAACCCTAGAGTCGGACTCGACTGGCTTTCAAGCAAGGAAACCTTTATCTTTACCCATATTGTGGCAACACAGTTTCTCTACCTCTGGAGCACAAACGTTACGACTTAAGAAGTGGCACAGAGCTCAGCAGATTCTGTAAAGTTCTCTTGGAAGATGGGCAGAAACTGTCACAGGACCCATTCAACAATGTCAACTTAGAGAATCTTACCTGTAAGTGACGGAACTTCAGCAAGCCGCAGCCATATGTTAAAAAGCACATCTTGTGCAGACTGTGAACGACTGAGGCTAGGACTGCCCAGGAGAGCTCAGGGCAGAGCTCCATCAGTTCTGATTCACTCACTCCATTGTGGCTGATGCTGATGAGGCAAAGTATCTGCACAACAAACATGTGGGAGGGGAAATTAACATACTACCATCAGTTTCCTTCATTCTCTGCCTTGCGAACATTGAAACAAATACTGGCCACTAAGAATACAATTAATAACAACAGCAACAAAATCTGTCAGTACTTCAACACAAAGCTACATGTTGTTCTAATATTCTTTTTCTTCAAGGGTCCTCCCTTTGCCCCCACCCCCGAAAAAGTGCCCACAGGAGGCTAGAATCTTGAATAAAGGTATGGCCAAGCAAGGAGTGCACCAAAATTCACAGCCCACTAGAATACAAGTCCAAGAGCACATGCAGGAAGATCTGAGGCACATTTCTAGGATTATTGTTGGAACACAAAAGGAAGTCATGATAGGAGCTTAATGTGGTTTTGGGGGCATAACTGTTTTCTTTTGAGAACTGGAAATAAGATATGGACGATACAGACAAAGTAGAACACCCTGACAGTTCAAGAACATTAAAACTTCTTGTCTGCTCTTCTCCCCAAAACAACTCAAGGAGGCTAAAAAGGAAAATCTAAGCTGCAACTAGCCAAACCATTTTAAATTTCAAATATTTTCATATCAGTTAAAAATCTGTTGTTTTTATCCCACTCCTCCTCCAAGGAGCTCAGGGGAGTGTATGTGAATTTCCATTCCTCCATTTTAGCTTCACAATAACCCTGTGAGGAACAGATTGAGCGAGTGACAGGCCCAAGGTCACCCAACAAACACCATGGCTGAGGAGGGAATCTCAGGCCCCCTAGGTCTAACGCCAACATTCTAACCACGCCAAATTACACTGCCTCTTCTAGCTTCAACTCACTCAAGCACTGTTGATTTACTCAGAACCAAAGAAAGAGAAATATGAAGCACATACAGAAATGTGATACAGTTTGTTCATTCAGGGTCACATGGGACACGATGGGGGGGGGGCTTAGGACATTTTTCTTTAGTTAGGCCCTGTTCACATGGAGCATTTGCTGAGCTGAAGGCATGATAGTCCTGCGGATTTTCCTGGCGTGATCACACCGGAACATCTGGGAGGCGTAGTGCACCCGTGGTGTCCTGCCGAAGATGAGCAGTAAAAACTACCTGGGACGACCTACTGGCAAATGGTTTGCCACGGGCTGCATGCGGACTCCCTGGGTGTAATCGCGCTGGCGCGCAGCTTTCTTCCCCGTCATCCTCTTTGCCACGGGGAAGCTGCCATCGCGTCTGATCGCATAATTGCGCATCAGAAAACGGGGCAAATAGGCACACACACACCCGTGTTTTCAGGCACGTGTGGCCAGGGCCTTAGTCAGCAAACCAGCAGTTTTGCCAGTCTGCCCTGGTCTTGGGGTACCTGGCTTGTAGAGAGGCTCCTAAAACAGAAGCATGTGGGAAAAGAGGAATTTGATTAGCAATTGCTTCTTGCAAGTAGTGCTGCTGATGGGAGAGGAAGGAGCGGGAGACGGAGCACACGTCTGCTGCAGCTGCAAGGATGACTATGGCCTCTTCAAGGCATCGTCTCCTGCCCAATTCTACTTTTAGAAAAATGTATACAGTCTTCAGTTTAGTATAGAAGAAAACCAACGTAACTGAAAAACTATCAGTCATCGTTTTTTAGGGCCGACTACAATAGAAGTCGGCCCTGGCATGATCTGGTCCATGGGGTTGCAAAGAGTCAGACTCGACTGTGAGACTGAACAACAACAACAACAATAGAAGAGAGCTACAACAGAAATACAAACCACTGTATGTTCTCCAGCTTATTACAGTAAAGTATATTACACAGATATTTTATCAAAAGAAGGCAGACAGAAGCAGCAGTGGAATTTTAGCCAGCCACATGAGAGCTATAAAGTCAGTCAAGATTTTATTATTTTGCAAAATGTTGCCACTGTAACCCCCCTCCCCCCCTTTTAATGTCATACATTGGCAAGCACTGCAGCTATTGTAAGAGTTTCATATTAATCAGGCAAAATTAAATTCTGACAGAAGTCAGGTTTGTGCATTTGGCAACTAACACCAAAAATGTTTTGTGTGCTGTTTTGAACTGAACTGGCCTGTCTTCCATTAAAACATTTGGATTTGGGGGGGAAGCACTATATAAATAAAACATAATGTTACTAAGTATGCAAGTTTCTGTAATGACGAAGACAGAGAACCCGGTATGTGCATTTATATACAGGATCTATTATGTGTTTATCCCACTCTTCCTCTGAGGAGCTGCTGGTGGCATAGATGGTTTTTTCTTTCATTTTACCCTCACAACAACCCTGACAGGTAGGCTAGCTTGACAATGACTGGCCCCAGGTGACCCAGTAAACTTCATTGAGTGGGGTTTGAACCCAGGAGACACTCTATGCTACAAGGGACTTGCACATGGAAAACTGTTTCTGAATGTAGAATGTAGAACGTGCTGATTGGGCTAGAAGCTTATTAGCTATTCACCAGTCCCTCCTTTTTAGCTGAAGTATGAAAACCACTACACACGAAAGTGTACATATTTCTCCCAATAGCTACATCAGGCTTTCTACTTGCCTCTTTCAAGAGGCCTCTGTCTTTCTCGCTTTTCAAAGATTCTTGAATGGATTTCAGAACTAACTTGTACAGCAACACCGTGTCTTGGCACAGGAAACACTTCTGTAAGATTATGTCAATATTTTCTATGCTTCCAGCACTGTGGGGGAGAAAACAATAAGGATTTAAAAGCTTGAAATGTCACCTGAAGCGAACCATCTTTTTTTTTTTTTTTTAAATCATGGATGACAACTGCCCTTATTACCATTCACTTCAGGAATGCGCAAATTTCTTAATGCTTGAAAAGAACTGCTGATGTATGCAAAATGCTGTTATGGGGGAGGGAACAGAAGAGACAAAACCAAAAACATGACATTTAGGCAAACTGTGCTGTATGTTTATCTTGAAAAACCCATGGGCCTTAACATTTTATGCGGCACAACAGCAAGTGCAAAAGCCTCCAGTTAGCAAAAACAAAAACAAAACAGTTAGCAAAAACAAAACAAAAAGAACCCTACAAAATAAGAGACGGTCTAACTGTTTAAAACAGGAATTAAATTTGCTCACACAAAAGTGCCTTGAGCAAGGTAGGCACAGATACTGCTCGAACTGAGTGAGTCCCGTGTTACATTACAATCAAAGCAAGAACAGTTCATACACTTTTGCGTGGTGAATGGTTTATACGCTTGATCCGTGAACCCTGTTGCTGACTGACTGCTGTTAAAAGAGGGTTACAACTACAGTGCCAGCATCTGGGCACAGCCGATGGAGTATGACTGACATCATAACAACCCCCCCCCCCCCCGCCCCCCGTCCTGCAGCACCAGTGTAGACTGTTAGGCAGGCAGCAGTTGCCACCACGGAACGCAGCACGGTGGGGTCATGCAGATGGCCTGTGCCGTGGCAACCTGAAGGCTGGATTAGGGACAGAGGAAATAATGCTTTCAGCGTCAGACACGGAGTGTAATTCAGACCCCATTCAAGCCGTTGATTCAAAGGGATCTGGATTCCACTCTCACAAGTTCCATGCAAATGTCATTGTTTAAGACTCACATCTGGGAGACTGGTTCTGTGGAACCCTATGCAAGGAGCACTTACATAGCTACTCTCATCTGACCACAACCTTCATCTTAAAAACAGGAGTTAGGATGCACAGCACGCTGAAGGCACTTCAGCCTTCATAAATAAAGGTTCATTAGCCAACCTTAAGCAGAGTGACATTCTTCTAAGACTTCAGTGGACTTAGAAAGGTGTGACTCTCCTTTGCAACAAAGGAGAGTAACCATTTGTCTGAGGAAGCACTGTAGTGCGCTTTAGCTTTTTAATCCATAATGTTTATTGGCTAACAGAGAGATGCCGAGTGCACAAATGTGCAGGTCTTTGAACTTACCCAGCCATCATTCTAGCCAAAAGGGTGACGTACAGGGCACTGCAAGTCGTACTAGAGTGACAGAATTTCTCAAGCTTCTTCTCCTAGAATGTGAAATTAAGTATTTTATAGAGTAGATAACTGGACGCACAATATATATGCTGAAATACAACTCAAAAACACAGAAGCACATGCCAAGAGGAGTACGAAATGCCTTCACAACTCTGCAATGCACAGTGCAGGCAGCTCGTTAAACCATTAGTTATATAAAGAGAAGCTATGTCAGGCGATATCATTCCAGAAGACACAAAGCCAGATATCTCCATATATGCTAAGAAATTTTTACATTATGTAAAAAAAAACCCCTAATTGAAGAACTACTTGCTGGTATTTGCGGGCATTGATAGGCACAGGATACAAAAATTTTGGCTTTCGTAAGCAATTCGCTCACAGGCTTCTGCTGTGGGCAATAAACTGCACAAATGCCATCTTCAAGTGAAGCAGTAGTCAGTTCCCTCAATGGATTACTAAAGCATGGTTTGCACTAACCATAGTTTAGAACTCAAACTATTGTTTAAGTTTCCAAAGCTTCGTACAAGCTTTCATTTTCCACCGGTTCAACACCCCCATTTCTATGATGCAGGGGTCTCCAGAAGCAGACCAATAATCGTAAGCTTTATTCTGCCTGTTCAGAAATCACACCAAGCCATAGCTAGTGCAAACCATGGATTGCAAATGAATTTCAAACCTTGGTTTCCAATTTTTGGATTGTAAACCATGACGTATCAGTTTAGACTTTACACCAAACCCTAGTTATACTTCTTTTATTTTTGTATACTTTCTCAATTGAGCCAACGTCTTAAGTGATAACCTGGCTGAAGAGGTGCTAACTGGATGCGGTCAACTGATATTTACTAGTTTTTGTCTATCCCAGCTATTGGTATGCAACTTTAAAAGCTTAAATATAAAGTGAAAAATCCAGAGAAGGAGCAGGCATGGTAAGTAATAGTAAAATCCACAAGGCAAGAACACAGTTAAACACATACAACCTGTTGGGTTTCAGTGACACATCTGTGCATAATGGACGGTGCCTCTTGAGTGCTCATTAAGTTATCAAAATGTTGCCGATTTCAAATTATACTAAAGATAAAGAATTTATTTAATGCGTTAAAACACAGTTAAGCTGAGTCTCAGCTATGGCAGCTGAGAACCTCCAGGATGAAAGCCACCATACCTGCTCTTTAGTCAGTTTCAGATTTGCAGAACTGCATTCTTCATTAATGAGAGATTTCACATCTTTTGTATTTAACGGATCAAGATGAAGAGTCGGCCACAGCCTTTCCAGTAAGAGAATGAAGCATTATTTTCGTAGCTAGCATACATAAAAATTCAAATATAACAAAAAAAATTTAAAGACCTTATTGCAGAACTTTGAAGCCTATACTCTTCTCCTGAACTGCAACTTCTTTAATCAATACTATACCACACTGAAAGTCAATGCTCCCTCTAAGCTGTAGAGTCTTATAAGCAAAAATTCTACTTTGTGAGCTACTGGCATTGAAGTTGCAAGTGAGCGATTTGGCTACTGCATAAATTAGTTTGCCCTGGAGCCATCTTTCCTGAGCTAAGACAAAAATGTGTGAGCCGGAGGCTAAAAAACTGTGAGCTAGCTCAAACTCACTTAGCTTAGAGGGAACATTGCTAAAAGTCCACTTATACATGCACTAAAGAATTATGCACAGTACGGTATGCAGTATATAACCTAGCAGCAATCAACAACTCATTTAAGATAACAGGAAATTTCAATGCCAAGGCATGTAAGGGTCTTTCCATGCTGCAGACATGCAACAAATTCCCTCTCTCAAGAACAGGGCATTTCCATACTCACTAAGAGAAGTTTCTGGATTTGTGCAGAGTCCCAAGAATATCACTAGAACTGAGAGAATGCCTAGAACTCTTGAAATTATTTTCCACTAAGAGCAGGACACTCCAGACTACACCCAATAAACCTGGCAGAATATTAAGTATTTTGTGTTCCTTCCTCTTACGGGACCTTTCTGTGCCTGCATCCTGCCAACTGAGGCAGTTCTATCAGACTTTACAAAATCCCCAAATTAAACTCACCTCCATGCTTGTGGACACGTTTCAACATTCACAGATACGACAACCCTGACATTCACTGGCAGGGGGTCGATCAGCCACTTCATGTGCTTTTCAGCTTGCTGAGAAACAACAATTTAACCTCAGAATTCAGAACCGATTAACATGCCAGAAGACCACCAAAATCCCACAGAAAAACTGTCTTCACATACCAGATCTTTTCAGCTGCCTCCATGAGACACAATGGCTATGAGACAAAGAACGGCAACTGTCCTGTTATCCTAGACTCCCACTCCCACAGCACGTGTGCGTGAATCCCATAAAACATTAACCTAAACCCACAGGCCTCAAGACACTGGGATTGCAGGCACCATCTTCAGGGAGCTCTTCCTGACTCTTCTAGGCAGCAGGAAGCAGCAGCATTCACACTTACCCCTCATGTCATTCTCTGTTTCCCAATATTGAAATATCTGGGTGTAATCTGCTCTCCTCCCTCCCAAGTGCAACTTAAACCCTTAACAGATTTTGACTGACCTCAATTGTTTGTTTCATAGATCACAAAAGTACTACATCAACAGCTGGTGCTTAGTGTTATGCAATCCTAAATATGAGAAGTTTAATAGCAAAGCCATTAACAACTGCTGATTATTCCATGAAATATTAAAAACCAAGTGTGCAAATGATACCTGGATTCGGTCAATAGAGTCAATAATTATTATAATGCTGCCTTGGTGGTGAGCAGAGAGTTTCTCTAGCCAACGAGGAAATTCTTCTAATAGTTTTGCTGGATCCAGCGTCAGAGGTGAGACCGACCAGGAATGCTGCATGAGCTGCAAAATGGTTACTGTGATCAAAAAAGTTTTATCTGAAGTTCTGACGCAAGAGACACCATCGATATACTAAAAATGCAGAGTCAAGGAACAAATTGTCCAATGATTCTTTTTCATGTTATAGGAAGGCAGAAAAGTAAATGAATCTAGGCTTGTTTTAAAAAAACAAACAAACAGAAAATCAGTATAAGTGAGAAAACAGGGAGGAGAGGAGGGGAGAAGGGAAGTGTGAGAGATGTTTTGAGTTAAGCCATTTATAACTTATAAGACATCCTCTTTCAGATACGAAGCTGACTTGGTGAGTTGGTCCAGATATTTTCTCTGCATAATGGGAGCCACATGCAGTGTCCTGAGCTCCTGGAGGAAGAATGGGATAAAAATATGATGGACACAGAGGTGACATGTCAGGGGTGAGGTACAGAAGAAAGAGAGTTGGCAAGAGAATTGCATTACAGAGATTCTCCTGAAAAGTAGATACAGTTTTGAGAACTGCACATTGTTCTCTTATTTTATGACTGATGGTATCATTCCTATATATCTGTTGCAACCCATATGATTGTCACCATATCAAGCAGCATCCTACAGAAACGTCTTCCACAGAGGAAAAACTATTACAGTTTTCTTTCCAATATGGCCAAAACACCGTTACGATGCAGCACTTGGGATGGGTAGGATGGCCACCATCGGCCCAGGATAACAAAAGGGATCCTTCTCTCATCAGCACGGACTAGGGCTGAGTTCAGACTGGCAGTTTGAAGCGCGAGGGAGTCGTGGCAAAAAAGACACAGAACAATTTGTTCCAGGTATTCCCGGTCACACTGTACCGACTGAAGCGGGAGCATACCGGGGAGGAGGCGCAAGGGAGCGTTTGCACTGTTGGTCCGTCCCTGGTGGAGGCGCGGCTGTAAGCGGCTTTTTCTCACTCTGGCGACATGTGCCTATGCGCATAGGCGCATCACCAACAGCTTCTAGCGTTCACACTTCTGGGAAGCGGGATCGACACGCTCTCCAGGGTTTGCTACCACTTTCACCTGGTATTTTTTAAACTCGGGAGGGAAGCGTTACAGGATGGTTTGAGTACGGCTGGGGAACGCCAGACAACTGTGCCTGTGTGAACCGGCCCCTTTAATACGTTTGTGAAACGTGCCTATATCAGGCCTATATCGGGCCAAACTGCCAGTCTGAACTCAGCCTAGAAGCATCCCACTGGTGTTGATCTCAGACATGGACCTGGTATTGTGGATGACTTGTACACCACTCTTTGGCATGCCATAGCCAAGACTCCGTGGCACGGGTCTGAGAAATTATTAAATGTTGAGAACACTCAAGTAAAACGCAGGGCATGACCTTTTAAAATGGATTTTAAAAACTGTTACACTCTAGTTAATGACAGTCACATGGTTCGCATGGGGCTTCCTATCCAAGCTAGCCTACATGGCCCGACTTGCTTAACTTAAGTAGCAAAACTGCATCGTGTGATTTCATACCATTCTCTCTAGACCCGGAATGATTTTTTTTTAAAAAAAGAGTGTTTACTAAACAAAAATTAATAAAGAGAGGCTAGCCCAGTTGCATAAAGCCAGATGCCCTGACCTGGAGGGCCCAGTCTAGACTGATCGCAGAAGCCAAAAAAGGGCCCACCTTGGTTAGTCCTTTTGGACGGGAGGCCACTAAGCAAGTAAACTCAGGGTTACTACGCAAAGGCAAACCACCTCTGTTCATCTCTTGCCTTGAAAACCCTACAGGTTGCCATGAGTTGGCAGCGATTTGACGGCACTTTCCACTTCCACAAAGCCAGACCGAAGTACCACCTGTGCAGTACATGGCTGGAAATAGCCAGAAAAGTGTATTACTGCAAGTAAATTTCATTAGTTGCATTAGAATCTAAATTTCTAATATATTTCCAGATATACCAGAGTATGGTTTTATAATTTATTAAAATATAAGATCGTAGATTCAATCTAAGGGAAGAATTGAGAGGTAAATCACATTCTCATCATCATACTTAGGTTGGTGAAAGTGCATGCTGACTGGTAGTAAAACAGGATTACCTTTAATGTGAATCGTTTGAGGATCAGGGCAGGCTCTGCACTGCTTGACGTAGGTTTCCCAACAAAATGATACAGAATTAGTGTATTTGATGAATGCTTCTGTTGCAGCTGAACCCTAATAAATGAAGGAAGAAAGAGAGAAATATTCCCAATCAATTTACCTTTTCTGAAGCTGCGTGGGATAGTGGTTACAATATCAGACTGGGATCTGGGAGATCCAGTTGTGAATCCCCACCCTGCTATGCTATGAAGCTTGCTGGGTGACCTTGGGCCGGACATTTACTCCCAGCATAACTTATTTCACAGGAATCATTCCAGAGGAGAGAGCTTGTTGTAGCAAAATCAAACAGAAATCCAGTAGCGTAGAAATCCAGTAGACTTATAAAATGTATTTCAAGATAACTGGATGAACACTCCAAGCATTTGATGAAGTGAGCTCTGAGTCATGAAAGTTTGCATTGGAATAAATTTTGTTAGTCTTTTGTGAGAATAAAATGGAGGAGGGAAGAATGATATACGCTGCCCTGAGCTCTCTAGAGGAAAGGTGGGACAAAAACGTATTAAGGTCCCTGCCACACGGCAGGGAAAACACCGGCCAAAGTGCGGCAAATTAGAGCTGCACCAAAATAGAGACGCCACAGCGGGATCCCACGGATCCCCTTAGTCGCGGCACCGTTGCTCCTCGGCACGATCAGGTGCCGGGAAGGAAGACACAGTCGGGAGGGGGAGGCTGCCAAACTGCGCATACCTGAGCATGCACAGTTTGGGCTGGAGCCGGGGATGCACCAGCGAAAGGACGCGCCAGCGATCCCATGGCCGGCTTTGATGCAGCCATCTGGGATGAACCAGCACGGTAGGTGGTTCCTTTTTGCAGCGGGGTTTTGGGTGGAAGGGGCGGATCGGGGACGCAAGCACAACGCTTCCCAGATGTTGCAGTGGGATCGCGCCCGTTGCTGCACCCCCGATCCGTCCCTCTACCGGCCCAAAACCTCTCGTGTGACCGGGGCCTAAATAAATCAACAGTGTAGTTAATCTATTGTAGCTTTGGTCTGTAGTACTGCCACCCTGCAAATGGGTAACATCAGTGATTGTCCATACGCATGCATTCTCTTTTTTAGCCCCCACCTGGTGGAATGGATATCTGATGAGGCCAGGAAAGCTCTCGCACTTAAAGGTAAAAGGGCTATACTGTAACAGAATGGTTCAGGAAGGAGCTTTATAAGAGAAAGGGACTGTGCAGACCATATCACTGTACAAAGAACATATCACTGTTTGCTGTATGTATTATCCTGTTGTCACTACATTGTTTTCTACTGATGTAATAACATTTTTCTGCACTCTGTATCATGTCTAGGGACGGGCACGAACCAGCTCATGAACTTTTGTTCATGATGATTTCTGGCCGGTTCATGGTTCATGAATGCAGCCCGGCCACAAGCTTCCATGAAATTTTAAGCCAATTTGTGGAGGTTCGTGGGGAACAAAAAGCAGGGGTTTAAACTGTTTAGAGCCTGAAACTGAGCCACGGAAGCAAACTGCCCCCTCCACCACTCAGCTGTTTCAGGCACGAACCTCACGAACCCGGTTCATTTCATATGCGAGCCAACTGGATTCAAACGATTTGTGGTTGGGTTCATGGTTCACTCACAAAGCATGAACTGAACCACATTTCCGTGGTTCATGCCCATCCCTAATCATGTCTAATATGCTATGCTTGTTCAGATTTATGTAACCCTAGTCCTAGTACATTAGACATCTCTTCATACTGACTATAGCAACTTACACTGTGTAACCCTGAGTCTCAGTGAGAAAAGCATACGATAAATATACTAAATAAATTAAAAAATGATAAATCATTTGAAGCTAGTTTTAATAGTGCAGTCCTACACAAAATTACTCCTGTCTTTGTCCACTGATTTCAGCAGGCTTAGCCTGGAATAACATTTATTTATTTATTGAATTTCTACCCCACCCTCCCAGTCAGAGCCGACTCAGGGTGGCTTACACAAAAACAGATAAATTACACTAAAACATAAGTTAGAATTAAAACAATTCTAAAACCACAATAAAGTGCTAGTAGTCATTGTTATTCATACGATGGTAAAGGTAAAGGTAAAGGTTCCCTTGCTCGAAAGCCAGTCGAATCCGACTCTAGGGTTGCGGTGCTCATCTCCGTTTCAAAGCCGAAGAGCCAGCGCTGTCCGAAGACGTTTCCGTGGTCATGTGGCCGGCATGACTAAACACCAAGGCGCACGGAACGCTGTTACCTTCCCACCGAAGTGGTCCCTATTTATCTACTTGCAATTTCTTGCTTTCGAACTGCTAGGTTGGCAGGAGCTGGAACTAGAGACGGGAGCTCACCCTGTCTTGCGGCACCCGGGTCTTGAACCGCTGAACTACTGACCTTCCACAGCCTGCAGTTCAGCGTCTTAACCACTTGAGCCACCGCAGCTCCTTTCATACGATGGTAGCAGCCATTATTCAGTATTCTCAGCTCGCAGTCAGCTCACAGTGTTCATTTTGATTGTCCTTGCAGTGCTTGATGTTTTTTAGGCTGTTGGTGGCAATTTCCGGAATCTAGGGCCCTCTCCCATTCAACCATCTGTGGTTTATCACTGGTGGTGGCAGCAGCTCCAAAAAGCCTGGTGGAAGAGCTCTGTTTTACAGGCCCTGCAGAATTGTAAGAGATCCCACAGAGCCCTGATCTTTGGGAACTCATTCCACCAGGATGGGGCCGCCACCAAGAAAGCCCTGGTCCTGGTCATCGACAACCTAGCCTCCTTAAGACCCAGGAGGGCCGCCGGTTCTGAGCCCCTGATCGCAGTGATCTCTGGGGGACATGTGGGGAAAGGCAGTCCCTCAGGTATGTAGGTCCCTGGCCATAAAGGGCTTTAAAGGTAATAACCAGCATCTTGAAACGAATCCGGTATGCTATCGGCAGCCAGTGCAACGCCTTTAGCACAGGCTGTATGTGCTCCTGTCTAGAGAGCCCCATCAAATGCCTAGCCATGGCATTCTGCACCAGCTGCAGCTTCCGGATTTGAGACAAGGACAGCCCCATGTAGAGAGCATTACAATAGTCCAATCTCGAGGTGACCATCACATGGATCGCTGTCGCCAGGTCATTGTGTTCGAGGAAGGGAACCAACTGCATGATCAGACGAAGATGGTGAAAGGCCAATTTGGCAGTGGCTGCTACCTGAGCCTCCATAGTTAAGGAGGCATCCAGGAGCACTTCCAAACTCTTAACCTCTGGCGCTGGCACCAATGGTGCCCCATTGAAGGTTGGGAGTGGGATCCCTAACCCCGGCCCGCTCCGACTTAGGAAGAGGATCTCCGTCTTCGTTGGATTCAGTTTCAGTCAGCTCAGCCTAAGCCAACCAGCCACAGCTTGTAGCACCCAGAAGCACAAGGGACTAGAAAGGTCACAGGGACAGGATGTACTGACACTGCCATAACCTGGAAGGCTGCTGAAGTGCTCAGAGCCAGCCAAAGCCAATCATGCCTTAGTTAACTTGGGCAAAAGTCAGTGCAAGAACTGGTAAATCTGACATTTTATACTCTGATTTGTGCACACTGATGCCATGCTGGGAATCACTGTTACATACTGTTGTTATCACTGTTACACACTGTTGTTATCAGTTTCTTATTCAGAGATAAAACTGTAGTTGTTAGGAACACTTTAAAACAAAATACCATTTTGATAGCAGAAGAGATTTTCCAGAGCCTGGTCCTCCAGATACAAGAAGGGGTGGAATGGGTGCCGGTGCTGCCACTAAGTCATTTAGACGCTCATAATACTGCGGACAAGAAAAACCCACAAAACAACGTAAGAAGTCTGGAATAAAATCAAGAAATATAATGTGACCTGTGACTCCAGTGCCTCAGCCCTGAATTAACAGGGATCTGAACAGGGGCTGGAGATAGCTCTCAGCTCTCCAATTTAACAAGAAGATTTTTTTTTTGTATTTCAACAAGTATGGCTCATTATTTCAACAGCAGAAGATTCAAAAGGCATGGGCCGTGTTATTACAGCAAAGCCTCCTGCCTGAAGAGAAACAAGGAACACAACTGCATCTCTTGAATATAGGCACTTCTGGCAATTTTCCCAGAACCAAGTGTGTTGTCTGCCTAATGCACATGGCCTCCTTCAGATTAAGGAGCGAAAGCCCCCCGAGGATGTTCTCAAATCCCGCTCCTTCTGCAGAACGGCAGCTTGGCTGTCTGTGAAGAGGAAACAGACGCAAACCCACATTTGCCTCGAGCGCCGGGTACCAGCTTACCTTCTCAAATCCCAGCTCACAAGTCGAATTGGAAGCCTGCTGGAAAGCCTCCATCTGTTCTTGCTCATCGTGCGCATCCCACAGCACATCGCCAAAGATTTCCTCTTCAGGAACAGAGGAGCTGTCATTAATAATAATAATAATAATAATAATAATAATAATAATAATAATAATAATAATAGAAGATGGAAACCAGGATGGAGACACAGGAAAAGCTGTGTAGTATGGGTGAAAGGCAGGAGGAGAAAGTGGGTGAAATTGCCCCTCCTGCCTGTTCTGGCAGCACCCCTTTTGTTGATCCAAGAGCTCAATTGATGGAAGAAGCAGAGGCAGCGGTTTTGCTGGTTTTCCTCAGTGCAGCTTCCAGTGTTGTAGGGTTTTCACCCAAATGGGTCTCCCACCACTCATCATTGCCTTTTTGAGAGTCACAGGCTGCTGTTGAACCAACGGGAGGGTGAGAATGAGCCACCTCTGCCACTGTCTTCCATAAGATCCAACTTGGCATTGAAAAAGATTCTTAGACCAAACCCCTTGTGAACACATATTTAAGCTCTGGTTCTAAATAAAGCTACGGCTGCTCAGTGGCCGTTTATAGGGGAAACAGATGACTGAGACATCTGTTCAGACAATGGCTATTTCTACATGGCAACGATGCTCCATGAAGGTCTCACAGAATCCACACATCAGTTTTCTCTGCACTTTCCTTGCCTCTGCACTGCCTGCCCCCCCACACACACACAGCCACCATTTTTCTCCTGTACCCCCAGAGGGCTTTTTGGGGGTCTTCCTTTTTTAAAAGAACTGGCAATTGCCAAGTTGTTATAGTTTAGAGACTTGAAAATTCAGAAGACCTACTAGATCGTGGTAATAGTTCATTCCGACATTATTGTGCTTTGGCAATCTAACAATTACCAAGTTTTTAAAAAGCACAACAAAAATCTCAGTAGGTGAAGTGTATGTGGGGCGGCACACAGGACTGAGGCAAAGGAAATGGCACCAAAAATACACACCTTCCCATCCACATAGCATGCAAAGGCACTACTGCAAAATTTTCAAAATGACTGTATCAAACCAGGTTTGAGAAAGACTGCACCAAACTATGGGATCAATTCCTTATGGATTCTGTCACCAACAAAATTAATAACACAACTTTGAAACCTGTACTTAGACCCATAATGGAAAAATGGGCTCCTATACTAGAATTTTTAGCCTCAGAGGAATATTTACCTGCTTCCTGGCAACACATGCAGAAATGGCTATGATTGTTCTTGCGCTTTGCTGATCGAACACAGATTACACCTCTTATTACTTACCTTCATGAATTCACTTTATGCTTGTACTTTACTCTCTTATAGACTGTTAAACGGTAGATGTCAGTAAATTTATAGATGATTTGACTTGTTTCACATAATAGTTATGTTTGTTTGAATTGTGACTGTATTCCACTTGAATATGAAAACATTTTATTCTGTAACAGATTGATTACTAGATTGTCGCATTGGACTCACATGCTACTTGTTGATTGTTAAAATAAATAAAAATTATAAATAAAAATAGAAAAGAAAGAAAGACTGCACCAAAGCAGAGGAAAATCCAGAAAGTGAACATTTAGAGGATGATGTCATACCAGAGCAAAACTTCAGTGTGTAAGCAACAAACAAGAAGCTGAAGGCACTTGTAGCTCACCTTCACAGAAAACACTTTTGCAAAGCACGTTTATCTCATTTTCCCTTTACATTTTTAGTTGTAAGATTAAAGCATCTTAAGCAGACACCTTAAAATAGAGTGCATTAAAAGTGGCCTTAATCATGCAAACGAAGAAATGTGCTGCATAAGAAAGTACCTGCTTTATGGTCTTTTCTACATAACTGTAGACTGCATGTGCTCCCTCCTCTGGTCCCCCCATGTGACTGATGATCTGGAAGAACAAGGGAAGGAATCTGTAATGATGAGGTCACCGTGTGGCTGCCGAGACTGAGATGCAGCAAGTGTTTTTTGGATGGCATAAGCACCATAACCTATTCAAAAAGGCTCCCTATTTTAAAACGAAAACCAGGTAAGAACATTTATGTTCCATGGCAACAATACATTAATCTTCACAGTCCAACAAAAACCTAAAGGACCCAAAGTTCTTCTAAAACAGAGAACAGGTCTCCGACAGGAATGTGATCAATGTATTCACTATTTATAAACCTGAGACAGTCCGACTTTTGGATTTTATGGCATGGCTGACAAAGCCCCACTCAGGTAATAACTCTAATCCAGTCCAGCAGCTCTGCTACACAGAGGCCCCTGCCACACGGGGAAGAAAAACATGGGCAAAGTGCGGCTTTTTAAAACCGCACCAAAAGAGACACGCGGCGGCAGGATCACATAGATCCCCGGAGCCGCCGCGCACTTCCTCCCCAGCACGATCAGATGCGGGGGGGAAGCCACTGACAGGGAAGCGAGGCAGCCGAACTGCACATGTGTGAGCATGCGCAGTTCGGCCGAGAGCCGGGATTGCTACGAACGAAGAGCGTGCCGGCGATCCCACGGCCACGCTTGATGTGGCATCCCAGGTAAGTCCTCCTCTGGGGGTGGTTCTTTTTTACAGTGCGTTATTGACCTGAAGGGACGGATCGGGGACGGGTGCGAGCCAATTCCCAGATGTTGCGGTGTGCTCACACCAGTTTGCTGCGCCCCCGATCTGTCCCTCTCCCGGGCCAAAATCTCCCGTGTGACCAGGGCCAGAGTGTATCTAATAGATATGTGGAGCTCTGCATGAGGACAGGCTGACTCATTCTCTTCCACGGCCTTGGGGAATTTGGCATGCATATGCAATGACCGTGATCATGACATCCACCAACAGTGAAAAGAATTTGTGCAAAGTTTCATGGATGCACAAAGACATGCCAGACTTCTGCCTCATAGCCTCTGTGTGTGTGGCCCAAAAATCAAGAGCTTTTGAATGGCACCAAAGCTACCTGAGAGCAGTTTCATGAGCTGAATCCTAAGAACTGCAGGGGGAGCTCTGTTTACAGAATATTTGTCATTCCCTCTTTTTCACTGCAACCCCTTGTGCCCCGCCCACCCCCAGTTCCCTCCTGAGAGCCTGGTGGATCCTCAGGAATGACATCAGATGCTGTAGGTGGATTTGAAGCGGAAAGGAGGAAATAATCAGAAATCTGTCTGAAAAAAGGGATTTGGATCTAACCCTATGTTTAATAAGTGGCCAATTTTTAAAAAAACACACAAAGTGATTTAAAGATTAGGAAATATATTCTTAAAGAGCAGTAAAAACTCTGCTTGGTTAAAAGTAAATTGCCTTGGTGCGCCTCATTGTGGGATGGAGTCATGGGGACATCTCATTCTTCCCCGTCCTTAGGGCCCAGGTGTGTTACAATGGGAACTACTTTAAACCTAAACCACAACAAGCTGTTCCAGGTAACACTCTAGTCAGGGGTCATCTCCTGGAAAAAGAGGCGCAGGAGCTCATTAGCATAACTTATTTGCATATGCCACACCCTTTGACATCACCGGAAGTGTGTCAGAAGGCAACACCCACTACTCAGGCTCCACTGGACTGTTTTGGATTGCTAGCTATTGGGGGGGGGGGAACGTGCAGATCTGTCCTCGCAGAGGAGAGGGAGATTATACCTGAATAAAACTTGGTCTTAAAGGTGCCACTGGACTGTTTTGGACGGGGGGCCGGGGGGGGGGCGCTGCAGC